TAATGCTGCGATTTCTTTGGTAGAGAAGCGGTAATGGGACGCTCGGGATGCGCCATTCGCCGCGCTTCTTGGGCAGTCAGGGACTAAACAGCGTAGCATCAATGACGAAAAGTGAACGACATACGACATTTGCTTTGTGCTCAACGTTTCTTCGAGCTCCCCGTCTTCCGCGTGCCTAAAGTCTTAAGGCGGGGTCATTGTTTCTGAAAAATCGGCGGTTACGGCCTTGGCAAGCTGCAGGAGGCTTATATATACTTTGAGGACCGATGACGTTCTTCAATACAAACTGCTGTATGGCGCGGGTCGGATGATGAACGACCTCGTGGCTCTTCGATCGGCGCTGGATTTTGTGGGGGCTGTCGGATGCGATCGTCCACCAAGTCGTGTGAGAAAAAAAAAAAAAAAAGTAAAGAAAGGCTTTAATATCCAAATCGACCAGAAAGAACCTTGGGCATCGGGTCGCGTATGTTGTTCCGCGCATCTCTTCGCGGTGTGGTGGGTGCGGCCGTGAGCGCGGCGCAGCTATAAGTGCACCTCACTGCCCTTGCTGCGTCGCTCGCTGCCGCCGTGCGAATATGGTTATTAATGGGACCCAGCGCAGGCGGAAGCGTGGTTGTGTGTGTTTGTGAGAATGGCGGAAGGCGTGAAAGATGGCGTTTCACCCCTACATCGCTGTGTGGCGCAAACAACCTTAAACTGCAAAATCCAATTTTTTTTTATTTTTTTTTTAGATTGCGCATTGCCAAACGGTCATTTTCCGTTGAAATGTAGCGCTAGTGGTCCGAACCAGATGTGAAAGTTAGAGAACTAAGCGTTATCTCACTTAAAAGCTAAAAGTGATTTTAAAAAAAAAAAAAAAAAATTCATTGGGAAAATGGATTTTGTTTCCGTCCGTTTTCGTTAACTGGAACTTTTCGGCTCCATATATTCGTAAGCTCCATCGGCTGCCTTTGATAGCTATAGTACTCGAGGACGAGAGACGGAAAGATATGTTGTGTTGGAGGAGGGTACTTATGGTAGTAAGATAGACAACGCTTTCCTGTGAAAAAAAATATTGACAGATTGCAAACACAGTTTTCTGGTTCTTCCCGAACTAGGGCCAGTGGCATCACAAACGGGGGGGGGGGGGGGGGGGGGGGGGGGGGGGGGGGGAGAGAGAGGGGGAGAGAGGCGGGGTAACGTGGCGGGCTGCTGCCGCCCCGGGTGCCGCTGACTAGGGCCAAGGAGTTCTGTTTTAAGCTGAACCTCTTGAAGCTTAAAAATGTCATCGGTACTTTTTCAAAACAGCTTCCTCAGCCCTTTGGGGCTTCCAACTTCCTTGAATTGGTCTCCCGTTTCAGGCCCCTTCATTGTTCTTTCACGCTATTGGTTTTCTCTCGACATTGAAGACATGTATTTTAATTTAGGCCCGCAAATTTTCCTGAAATCAGTTTCCAATGATTCGTGAACATGGAACTTGTGAATCTCATAATTCCTACGGCATCTCGGTGCCAGGTTTCGTAGACTTACTTGCCTTTTATCTGCAGTCCACTCTCGTTGAACACAAAGGAATGTGTTTCAGACAGAAGAAAGGTGTATGCATGCATGAAATCTTGTTTATCAAATATTCTCAACGAAGTTTATCTTTCGTTCGTTAACAGTGCTATCAAGGAGCGACTTGACAACACCTCAGTGGGGATAGTAACACGTCTTCAGATTTGTTGACGATTGCGTTGTCATCCGCCCGAAATCGGATTCGTTCGAGGGAGTCGTTGAGGCTTTCACGTCCAGCTCGTCCGGACTCACTTTTACCAGAGAGGATCCTCCACATCAGGGTTTGCAGTACTTAGAGCTCCGCCTCCATCTATGTTCTTCGGGCTTATGCGGGGCTCTTCAGCAGATCAAAACCACGTGCTACCATTCCCAAGTAATCATTCAAATTCAGGTAAACACGGCATCATCACAACCCTCCTTTCGTCAGTCTCTTCGAAGTCATGCCCTCACTTATCGGAGAAAAGCCCCCATGTTCAGCACCTTAGGCCGGGGTCACACTGCTTATATATCACGCAAACGACAGTCTGTATGCAGATTCGAACGCAAATCACCACGAAATCTGTGCTTTGAATGCCGCATGGTAACGAGTCCCAAGGAGAAACTTGGCGCGCGGCATTCGAACCACGGATATTGCGGTGATTAATGTCTGCCGGCTGTCTTGTGTATGGTGTGTAAGCAGTGTGACTCCGGCTTCGGGCTGGTAAATTCAATGTATCGAGTGGATCTCTTGAGGAATACCTTGCACAGGTTCATTTTTAACGTTAATCGACCATGTTCTGCAACCCAAAACAAGAGGCTGGGTCGATTTACAGTTATTCCTTGCGTGCAAAATTCATCCCACCGGTTAAGGGATCTCGCCTCCTGGTTCAACACAAACGTTGTTTTTCTCCTGTAGAACCGGAGGAGTGCAATGTTAAGGCGCGTTCACACTGGCAAGTCACACGACAGATGCCAGTCGCGAATGCGATAAGTTTGGAGCAGTCGCTCCCAGACTGAATTTGCGACTTGTCGCCGAGTCGCAATCAGCGGCACCTCGGAAGTGACGTGAGTGCGCCCCGCGTTTGTTTACATTCGGCACGTCGAACTTCTGTGAGAGCAGAGGTGGGAGAAGCAACCAACAAATCCGTTCAACGCCTCGGTTTGCGGTATACGGCCGTGGGAACAGAGCCCCGGTTGTCTATGCTGCGGCTCTGGTCAGCGATATTTAAGAGTACCCACTGCTTTATGAACGCAGCACCCCGATTTGAACGAGCGCCCGAAAAAACATCTCGGCCTGGCAGCAAATCCGTGCTACATCTTGACAGGTATGTACTGTCAAGCTGAACCAATCACGTACAGGAAAGACACAGTGACTTGCGCTTTCACGCTTTTTGATTGGAACCACCAACTCGTAGCGTCGGCCGCGCCTGGACTAGAAGTGATCCGATGTATAACAACTTCGTTTGATACAAAGAAAATATTCTGCTCCTTTGGGTTGCGGAAAACAGTATATTGGGCAGACTGGGTGGTGCGTAATTGCCACAGACTAAAGAGTTTATGATTTGCAAGTGTCACGGTGTTCTGCTGAATCCAATAGACCGATCTCACTAAGCGTTCGGCGCATGTTTGACGCCGCCATAACTTTAGTTCACAAAAGGCAGACGGCCGCGCATGCGAGGGCTCGTGCATGTCGTCTCGTGCTCTACACGCGCAGAGCTCCAGCGCGGTTGCCGCGCGTGCAGAAAGACTAAAGTTTCCCGATGCATTGCGACAGCGGTGACGTAGTCAAACTGGCTGGTAAGATCGGTCTGATATAAAGATAAAAGGTGTGCGCGTCAGAGGAGGAGGGAGAAGGAATGCCTATGCTGTCGGAGTGCAGTGCATGCTATGAGCTCATGTCGCCAATCAAATATCGCCGACTGTGCAACGTCACGGCTTTCATCGCCTTTCGTTGAGCACATCCTTCGAGGAAACCGTGACAGTGCGCTTTTAGCCTGTGTGTATGTATTTGCGTGTCTTTCAGCCTTCGACTGCGCTCCGACTCAAGCATAGGTAGGCCGTCTGCAATCTTGGGCCAATCCAGGCGGCGCTACAGTCGACGCGCGGGTATAAAAAAAGCAAAACATAAAGATAAAAGGTGTGCGCGTCAGAGGAGGAGGGGCAAGAAGTCGCTACCTTTTTTATTCCGGGGCATTAAGTCCATCCACCCACTGTCGTTCATGCCCGCACATTGAATGACCGTGTTCCATGTTTCGTAGGAGGGTACATTAACAGATTTGGCAGGGCTATCACTGAATCATCCGTCATGAACACAGTTGACATTAATCTGTCTGCGCCCTCACTTGTTCTTTCCAAAGATGAGATTGCCTGATTGCCTCCGTAACGGTTCGTTTCAGCTAATGTCCAGTGCCAGCCGACGCTACGAACTCATGGCACCAATGAAGCAATGTCAAAAACACGCCTCTCTGTCTTTTCTGTTTACGATTCATCGGTGGTGGAACACGTACAGAAACATCACAAACACCATGATGCCTTTGACGCTGACTGATTGGTCACTCCAGCGTAGTTCATAATCACTCCCCCTCACACTGGTAGTGCAGTCTCTTCTTTCAAATCATACTTTATATTTCTTTTTTATTTCCCCTCACAATTTTACCCCCCCCCTTTTTTTTTCCGGTTTCTTTTCTTCTTTTTGTGTCAAGCCAATAAATGGTCGAGATGTCTTGTCCTCTTGTCCTGTCCTCGTCCTTCGTGTTGCTTTCCTTTTATCCCTGTCACTTACCAACCCGCTCCAGATCCTTGAGTCTAGAGCTGAAATAACGCGTTCCTTTTGAATCTCAGTAACGAGAAACGTACCTATGACTTTTCGACCAAATAACAATATTTAATTTTTTTATTTTTTTCAATAACTTGTACTGTGCATGTCTGGGTGAATTACGGGGGTCACGCATGCGATGCTTTAGTTTCGTTGGTGTCGTGTAGTCAAGATATAGGCGGGGAGGAGGGGTGAAAAACAAGCGTTGTCAACAACAGTCTGTATAAAACAAAACAAAAATACCATAGGGCAATTCAGAGCACACGAACCGCTTCTCTACATGCGGGTCTGATTGCTGAAAGATCGAAGAGGAATAGGGCTACGCCCATATCGAAGCATTTAATCGACGTACGGCCTACCAAGTGCGGGCTCTCAAAATCGCTACGGATTGTTCCTGCGGGCCGAAAGGGACGGACAGAGCACGAGTGCGGTCGAACAGATGCGTGGAACCCGGCGACTCGACGACTCTATCTGCTCAAATGGCCCAAAGAACCGAATGCAACGCTCCTCTGGCTCCTCACTCACCCGCCCCGAAGATGCCCATAAGAGGAGGAGAGCACCCCACCAATACTTTTCTCAGCCCTCACGAGAGAGCGCCAGTGTCGCGACCGACCGAACCGGACGTGAGGTAACTCCTTCTCGCGCATGCGCCGTCTACCGCATCCGGCCTGCCATTCTTGGTGATGGAGCGAGTGGGATGAGCCGCTGCAAGCAGCGTCGCCGCCGCCGCCGGGTTGCTCCGCGTCCAGTGTCAATTTTAGCGGCGCCGCTCCCGCCGTCGGAACGTCGGAACCGTTTGAGCGAGATGGGATCAGCATGAACGCCGGCGAGCAAAGCATCGTGGCCGACTGGCTCCGCACGTTGGGACTGCCGCAGTACGCCGAAAGCTTCGTGGACAACGGCTACGATGACCTGGAGATATGCAAGCAGATCGGAGAACCCGATCTCGATGCGATCGGCGTCAGCGACCCCAGGCACCGGGAGCGGGTGTTGCAAGCGGTGCGAGTGCTGCTCGAGCAGGGAGGCACCGCCGTCTATTTCACCCTCGAAGAGGCTGCCCGGCATTCGAGGGCCGCCGCCGCCGAGTACGGCTTCGCCGGCGGCGCGGCCGACTGCTGGGCGACGGACAAGGCGGCCGCCCGGCCGGACTCGCTCCGCTACTTCACCGACGAGTACGAAGAGGGCAAGGCCGAGCTGGTGCGCTTCCCCAAGATGCAGCTCAAGATTATGGTGCGGGACAAGATGGTTCGCGATGGGATACGGCTCAGCATGCAGCCCTACAGCAATCCGGTGAGTCACTGGCAAGCGACTGCGCGTGTCTTTTCTGTAAACTGAACCCCCGTCTTTCCTGACACCTAAAGGCGCTCTTGTGTGTTCGACAGTCGTGGCGCGGCAGGAGTGTAACGTTGTGATGCCGACTTCTAGTTTCTCCCCGTTCAGTGGAATTGAGCTCCGCATGGTCACTGAACGAAGCCGCAGGAGTCGTTAGGTGACGACGCACGCTTCGCCGTTCTTTTGTTCCCCCGCTGCCTCCTTTCAGCGTTTCAAGGACGAGCTTCTCGAAAGGCAGTGACCAGCGAAGCCAAAGCGATTTGCGTTCCTTTGCCGCGCTCGTTACGTGTGCTGACCCGCGGACGCGCCTGAGATCGTGCCACCGTGCTGTTCTTACGCACGCGCGCGTGCATGCGTCCGAACGTGTTCTGTAATTGAGCGGCGGTCGGCCTTCTCGGTTGTTTGTAACGTTTGGGGAGAGATGTTTTCTTTCTCTCGCTCGCGTTGCGCATTACCACCGAGTTCCTCTGCTCACTGAGCGGGTTCTCGTTGCCGGCTCGCAGGTGAAACCGTTTTTCAGCGTGAGTGGCAAAGCAGAAGCGCGGCGGCGTTGCGCGTGTTTACGGTGCGGTTCTTTGACCTCTCGTTCTTCCGAGCGACTCCTTTGGCAAGCGGCCACCTGCGTCGGCGAAGCACGCTCGTTTCGACGATTACCGTTCGCGAGGATCTTTTTCTTTTTTGCTTCACTCGTGTTCCTGGCACGGACGTTGAAACGCAAAAGTATGTCGCCCGATAAAATGTTTGAACTCTCTTCCCATCGTCACTGACATGGATGAGAACGACAGGGCATCTGTTTCGGAGTCTTCTGCAGCGGCGCTCGTCCTGCGTTGTGTGTTCCTTCTCTTAGTCTTCGTTGTTACGCGCTGTTACACCTGCACCATGTTAGACTTGCACCAACTAGCCCAGCTCTCTGCTTTGCTACTAAAGCCACTGGACCCTGAGAAGGTAGCGCCAAGCTCCTCCTCTACCTCTCCATTCTTGGTGAGACGATCACGATTTCCGGTGACAGGTTAAAGATGTTTCTTGAATACCGACATTTTGTCATCCACACACGGCAAAACAAGCGCACACCTTCGCAGTGCCACCGCATGCGGCGTCTGCCTGCCGGCACTGAAAAGTTATTTTCCTATCTTGAATTACACAAGACAAACAACACCCTTGTGAGAGATCTGTAGAGGCAGGCATGATTGGTACGTTGATTGCATGCACAGTGCCACAGACGCTTAGATTGGCGAGGAACGCATCAATACGATGATGCTCCATGGCGATCTTGGGGCGACTGCAGGTTCATAACGACCCTTCCGAAGATTTGAATGGACCGAAATTGCGATTGCCATGGCAACTGATACCAATTCGCCAATCACCTTACGACGTTTGGTCGTCTGCATGCTAGTACCCAAGCATGCAATAGTGCCTAGGGTGCCTCGATGCCCTTCTGTTTAGGGTTATGCCATCCTTTGCAGTATCCGCGATGCCGAAAGCACGCTCGCACGGGGAAATTAAAGACATCGTCGAAAACAAAATATCGCCGTAGCAAAGTCAGCGTCACTAGCGCATGCAGCGAGACGCACTTTCACGCGTTTCAGAACCAAAAATAAAAATAAGTGTTCGGAACAGCATCGCCAGATGTCACCACCCTCAGCAAAGCGTACATGAAGGCACCCTACCAGTGGCTACCATCAAGCTTTGGTTGAGCGTAGACCCTCCAGGCCCCCGAGACGCCGGAGTGTCTCGAAGGTATACGGAGATCGCGCTGGAGGCGAGCAAACTGAAGGACCTTCATGTCGTTTTCAACACTGGACGCGGATGGAGAAGCTGCTGAAAATGTGTTATCTGGGCATGAAATGTCGATTTCTCGTTTTCCTGTGAGATTGCGCTCTCGAGGAACTCGGATGTTTGTCCGGCACTGTCGCCGAACGAAGGTTGCGCACTCCCGCGGATAAGTTAGAGCTCACGTCAAAGTGTTATTTTTTGCGTCGTGTAACGTTTGAATGCGGGGTGCTTAAAGCGGGCCAAAAGACTTGGCTTCAAATATCTACGCAGGACTAATGGGATCTGTCGAACTGCTAAAATGGAGAAAGTAAAGCGAATGGAGAAGAAGCGGAAATATATGCCGATGAAAGAACACATGGAAAGGCCACCTTATTCATTGTATGTGCGGTGTACCTTCATGGCTGGAGCGTCAGAAAGGGGGAACAGGCACAGATATGGGGGGGGGGGGGGGGGGGGGGAGAGAATTGGTCACTATACATGGGGACAACTTTTCTTGTCATTTTTGAGGAGAGGAGGAGAGCGCGCCCACAGCTTTGGCCCGCGCTCAGAATGGGAGAGGTCACGCGCGCCCGCACCTTTGACTGCATTGCCAAATTGCCTTGCATAAAACCTCTCCGAATGTAGCGAAATGATGAATGGTGGCAATGAATGTTGGAAGGACGGTCCCTCACAGGATGTTTTGGGGATAAAAACATGTAATATCGTCAGCCGCAGTTACGCTTAAGTATGGTTAGCAGTTACTGCCAACTATACCTATACACTCTAAAAGAAAAAGGAGAGGGGGTCTATATATTCCTGTATACGAGGGAGCAATGCTGTTTTCCTGTAGGTACCTTTAGAAACGGAGCAACGTTCGTCCCCGCAAACGGGGAGCAAAGTTCCTCCCTCGTCTGCTTAGCAATATGGTGGCTCCGAATCGAGTGAATCGAGCTCAGTAAGTCTTAGCGAGGACGGCATTATAAAGCCTCTTGCGCTGAAGCTTTGTACAAACTGTGGCGCCCTCATTTTGGGTAGTACATGCTCACTTGATTGGGTCTCGTACTACTTATGGCACTTTCGCTGAGATTTTTTCTTTCTATGCATGTTAAAAAACGGAAGTACACCTTTCGACCTCTGAAATCGGCTAGATTCAACGCTGTAAAACAATCGAAAATGCCATGTTCATGCCTCCAGCGCAAGAGTACGCTTCTCTTATCCCAGGGCGGTGACGTCAGAACACCTGGCATTTTGACGCTTTTTTTTATTCTTCTTTTTTCCTTTTTCTTTGGAACACGTGAAACGGCGTCTCTTTGCTCAACTCTTAAGCCTGGTTCACATGCAGCGGTTTTAGCCCTGGAGCGGCGCGATTTCTGCCGTCGCGGCGCTCTGGCCAGCCCTAGAGGTTGAGCGGCACGAGCGCCGCGACGGCAGAAATCGCGCCGCTCTAGGGCCAAAACCGCTGCATGTGAACTAGGCTTTAGCGTCTCAGCTTTGACCTGAGCTTCGACAGCGTTCGAATTTTTGTTGTTTCTTTTGTATTTTCTTCGTGATCTCGCGTTTCGCACCAAAGCAGTCACGCTTCTACATGCGTGACAGTTTGAGACGCTCAAGGTTGTACAACCATTGCCTCGTCTATACTGACAAAGCCTGGCAGATCGCCACGAGAAGCGGCGGCCTAAATTGAAAAGGTAGAGCGGCAGACAACGGATGAGAGGAGCGCCACGTGACGGGCGCCCGGCTGCGGCGAGACGACGAAACACACTTCTCCCGAGCGATGGAATGTCCGGTAATTTGTTAACCTGGCTAGAGTGCTTTCTTACGAACCGCTCACAATATGTAACTCTAAATGACAATAATTTATCCCTGACTGATGTGGTATCGGGCGTACTCCCAAGGTTCGATTTTAGGCCCGCTTCTTTTTCTAATAGTCATTAATGATTTACCGAGTTGTGTTTTTTCCTCCATGCTTCAATACGCGGATGACTGTGTAATTTATAGGGAAGTTCATGATGATGATGATTAACGCCTTTTGCAATCTGATTTAAATAATATTACTGCTTGGTGCAAAAAATGGTGTATGGAACTAAACCCTAACAAATGCAAACCAATGCGGTTTTCCCGGCAAGCTGCGCGCCCTTCAGCATATACACTAACCGACATTCAACTTGAATCTGTAAACTCATACCGTTATCTGTTTGTTACTATACCATCGACTTTAACCTGGAAACCTCATATCGATATTATAGTCGCCGACGATGGCCGCATGTTAGGATATTTACGACGGCACTTCAGAACGGCCCCAGTTAATTTCAAGCTTCTTCCTTATAACACTCTTGTAGGGTCAAAATTAGAATGCGCAGCCTTTATTTGGGATCCTAACCACGCCTTTCTACATAAAGCTCTCGAACTAGTTTAACCTTCAAAATTACGCCGTTCGTTTCATTCTGTCTAATTAAAATCGAACAGCCAGCATATCATCAATGAACTCTAGTTTGTTGTTACCCTCTTTGTCATTGCGTAGAACGTTTTTTCGACTTTGCCTGTTTCATGAAGTGTATCATCATCAGTCGCTGTGAGACCATTTTCTAACTATTATTCTTCCCGTCTGGGCCATCAGAATAAAGTTGGATTAACACGTTGCCAAACGAACGCTTTTTTTTATTCATTTATTTCGCATACATCAAACGATTGGAACGACCTTCCAGCAGATATCGCAACTATATCCTATTATTTTCTTTTTCGCCAATCTTTGTTTACATTTCTATTTGATGAGCCGACATGATTCATTTTATTTTGCTTATTTTGTTCGTAACAGATGTTGCTTTAAGCTTTTGCCAATCGGAGTGTATTTTTTATATTTGAATTTCTCGCCGCATCTTCTTTGTTTTGTCTTTTTTTTTTTTGCTTTACCCTTTTTTTTTACAATGCTTCGGCGCTTGAGGGTATGTACAATAAATGAATAAATAAACACCCTGCAGGCAAACCTGCCTGACTTCGACGCAAAGTTGCGGAGACGGCCATTTAATTCACTGTACATAGCACTGCTAACTCTGCTCTGGAACTTTGCTGTTTCTAACGCCTTCGTTTGACAAAATTGGCGGTAAAAGCGTGAGTGCAACCGAGTCTATCTGCTTGTTTGAACAGGAAGACAATAACTGGCAGCCTTCGGTGCCGTTGTCGCACAATCAACTCAATAAAATTTACTA